CGTCAATTATTTAATTGATGTTTATATTGAACATATTTCTTCATTATTTTTGCTTTTTTTTATTAATTATTTTAAGTACATTTGCTAAATTTTTGTGCGAGAAAAAAAATTGTCATTGTTTATGTAAATGTTTGGCTTATATTTTTAAGGATTTATTAAAGGGTCCATTAAATATCAGAGAGAATAAATGTCATACGGGTTTAAAGTATCAGCTCTGCTCTTTATGGTGTATAGTGGCTAGGATGTGAAAGAGCAACAGTCCCGGGCATCCAGCCAAAACGAGCATTCAACATATCAATGGAACACACTAAAGCTTTATATCATTTAGCAATTAGTTTTAGATAATTACAATTGTAGAATAATTATCTTATTATAGAATGAAATGTTTTAAAAGACAAATATCTGTTAATTTTTAACATTTAATCAACGAAAAAAAAAGAACCAATATTAAAATCTAACGAATTTATTATTTTTTATTACTGATAAAGTTTGTGACAGAAAAAAAAATTAAAGCCTGATAGATTTCAGAATTTTAGAAACACCTTCTAGTTATACTATTACAATCAAATAGGTTTCGATGTCTTTCATCCCGGTCTCATTAGTGGTTCAGCATGTTTCGATATCATTTTTCTTTCGTTCTTACTTAATATTAATTTGTTTGCGAGTTTGCGACAGTTAATCTGTATACCACTTTTACCATTTCGAGGAGTTTAAAAATATAATATTGAGGATTTTAACTTTTTTGTATGCCTCTTTTATTACGTCATCATCACACCCACACGCAACTGTCTACACTAAATACTGCTATATAGAATGAGATAGTGAAACAAACGTGTGTAGTTATTTAAATTCTTATTCAAAAGTATTAGTTAATTATTATTTTTTTTTTTTTGAACTGACAATTTCTGTCTTTTTTTAGATATTTTAAAGGGTTCCTTGGGGTATTCATCCACTTTTCCTTCGAGGTTAATATCTTCCTTACCTGTACTATGCATGATTCTTTATCGCCTTACGAGATCATCGCCAACAAAACCAATTATTTTTATTTTTTGAAGTGCTGGATGCTATTTAGGCAAAGTATGAAATAATCGTCCTGTTGAGGTTATTATGTAAATAATGTGCATGTTACTGTGAATGACCGAAATCGGTGGTTGTTGACTTTCACCGGTGAATGTTGACAATCAAATTAGTCGCTTTGGTGAATGTCCGAAATATTTATTACATCCG